AACACTTCAAGATAACTTGCTGACCAACTATCCCAGTTTGTCTGAATTTGTGTTGGTCTAGCACTGCTGAGTCCAACACTCTGGGAAACTTATTTATAAGAAAACTGGGAACAGTTGGTTAGCCATGTCTTATAGGTACTTATTTTCAATCTTCTCAAAAATCTCTAGACATATGTACCATTACCGGAATTTACAGATAAGTCAATAGATCATGGCTTGCAAGTGGTAAAGCTTGTGTTCAAAAATACCTTTGAGTGACTTTAAAGTATCTGTGTGCTCTATTACATTGGTTGTACATTCAAATGTTTGCATGTGTTCTTTGGTTTTTTAAAAATTTTTAGCATAGGGGAGCCAGGGATTTAGCTCAGTGATTCTGCCGCCTGCCTTGCAAGCACAAGGACCTGAGTTCCATCCCTGGTACCCCCCAAAAAAAAAGAAAAAAAAAAGATTTTTTTTATCATAAGGGTTGGAATACAGCTCATTGATACAGGGGATACATACATGAAGCCCATGGGTCAGTCTCTAGCACATGTATGCCACACACATACAACACTGTATTGACAGTCTATTTGTTTTAGAAAAATACAAAGGATTAAAAGATATTTAACCTTAACAAAATTATTTTATTAGAAAATAAATACATATGTCAGAATCATGAGGTTACCAAGGTCCAAAATCTGAGCAAATGCAACTCACCTCAAAGACTTGTTTGTGTAGGCCGAATGGAATGGACAAAGAGGGTTAGAGGTAGAATGTTTAGACATTTCTGTGGGCTAGTGCAGGGAAAGTTGGGTTTTAGTCTATTTTTCTTACTATGGTCTTTCCAGTGTTCTACCAAAATTATCAGACACGTATTCCTTACCCTTTTCTTCCCCTTTGTGTTTGTAGACACACAACTGAGCACTGCCAAGTGGCAACACCGGAGGATGCTGCACATGAGTGCCCTTAGGTTATCCTCGGACCTGTTTCGACAACAGCCAGAGAATCGCATCAGGTAGAACCTTTCCCTTACTTTTCCTGACACAATGCTCTGAACTCCAAATAATTCTGCAAGTATGTGGGGTAGAATTTGATCCGTTTTACTGATAAGAAAGGTACTACTGTTCACTGCTAAAATAATTCATATAATGGTTTCCAAAACAGTTTCTTAGTTGTGTGTAGCCACGGTTACCTCAGGACTACAGAAATCAAACTTTTAAGATAGACAGTTAAAACAGTTTAAAATTTAATAAATTAGTGCATAAAATACACTACAAAAATTTAATTAATGCCAATGACCTTAACATTTTTAGACTCAGTAAAATTTCAAAGCAAGGACATTTTATTATATTAAATTATTTATGTTTGTTTCTAAACTAAGTGTGCAATGGATTTGAAATATATATTGCTGTGTTCAAACATTTGTTTTTTTTTATAAATTTTTTTACAGATAGGAATTGAAATGGAAATCCTTATTTCTGTCTTTTAGAGAGAATATACAGGCCATGAATAAATTAGTTTTGCCAGTACGCCTCACATTTCAATAAGGTTCATCCAAATGACTGAAAAAATAAATAATAAATGAAAAAGAGAAAGTTATTTGGGAATAACTCAGTGTACAAGAATGAAAATAATTTTGATTTGTAATCTTGAAAATCGAGCTTCCAATTTGAAGTTTTTAAAATGCAAATCATTAAAGCACTTGGAGATATAGTTTGTAATGTATAAAATGTGAATAATAACTTTCCCCAATAAGTCTCATGGACTTGCTGGGATCAAATGCAGACATGCATATGAGGGCAATTTTTAATTATCCAGCACTATGCACACGTTACTTTTCCCATGCTCGTTACTGCCAGTGTAACTGCAGTGTTCAAAATTTACCCTTCTCACCTCCCTGCCCCCATTTGCCCCCTTAAAACTTAATTACCTCTTACATTTAAGCTTTGCAAAGCAGATGTTTTAAAACGAAGAAATTGGAGGCTTTAAATAAGAAACTAGAATTCTTGCAAATTATTTTATCTATGTAATGATACATATGGATTTTTTCTTTGTCTCATAAGTAGTCCTTTAAGCCTTTAATCCACAAAGTAAAATGAATCAATAGCACACTTCAGTGTTACCAAGGCAATAATAATGCATTTGGAACATTAAGTGTCAAATTTCCCTCACATATTTCAAAAATTGTTTTACATTTTTCTGGTGTAACCTCTCTTGACACCAGTGAATTTAAGGCTTGTAATTGAAGGCTAAGTGAGCGAAAAGGCAGTTCAAGTGATAATATATCCATTTCAATTCCGATTTTTCTGGACGGAGACCTTTTATGCTAAGTTCATGTGAGAGTAAATTTTTATGACAAAATTATAACCCTCAGAAAGACATTACTCAGGCAGACTGAGATCTGTCCTGGTATAATGGATTTTGTGACACTGAAATGAAGACAGTCTCCCAAAAGCTTTGCCTAAGAAAATTCTGACAGTAGCCTATATGCCACCGAAATTTTCAAGATGTTATTATGACTCATTATAGAAAAATGCCTGGGTATTTTAATCATGAAATATGATTGTGCTAAAAAGGAGAAAGGCATAATCTTTGCAATATTGCTTTATATTAATATTAGCCTCACTGTTTAGAAAATGTTGCTTTTAATGTACTTTTGTAAAATAAAACCCTCCAGTTTAGAAGGGCTCATGTATTTGTTTCCTCTGAGTTCCACCCATGAATTTCTACATGTTACCAGCTGAATGAAAGGGAGGCATTTGAACTTCATAAACTTTTTAAAAATAAGCCTTTTCTTCCCTAGGTGGAACAACCCCCCATTTCAGTGGGTTAATTTTTTGAGATATATGTGTAAATTTTCAATAGTGTACTATCTACGGTTAAAAATATCACACTGGTGGCTGTGTTGGCACACATCCATGATCCCAGCACTCAGGGAGCCTCAGCCAGGAGGATCACAAGTTCTAGATAAATCTGGGCAATGTAGTCACTTAGTGAGATCCTGTCTCCCTAACACTCCCCAAAAGAGGGCTAGAGACCAAGAGATGGATGAAGAGGGAAGAGAAGGAAGGAGAAAGGGAAATAAAAAGAACTAAGATGTATTATGTATACGTACCAACTCCCAATGATGAATGTAATTATTATGCATTACAGACACATACTAATAATATTAAAATTAAAGAAGAAAAACATCAAGTTGGCAGGATTTAATACTTTTGCAAAATTTAAAGATTTTTAGCTTTCCTGTTTTTGATCATCAGAACTCTAGTATCCATCCACCCAGTGATATTTTACATTTTTTTCTGAAGATCATTGAAAAGCAAAGAAGGAATCAATGATAACAAGCAACAACAGAAAGAGAAGCAGATTAGACAAACTGAAATCCTCAGTTTGGAATTAATATTTACTTTCATGTGTCAAAATATTATTTTAAATAATGCTTGGCTTTGTATTTAAATGTGCTTAAATTTTTGGAAGCCAGTTACCCTTGTTTTGTAAGAATCAGGTGGAACTGTTGTACATGGGAAAATGTACATATTTAAGTGCATACCTTACTTTGGATCCCACCATTACATAGCTGGATGAAGAGCCATACTTGAGGGCAGCCATTGCAGTGGCTGTTTTGGTACCACCCAATATATACCTCAGAAAGGAAACATCAGAAACAGTTCCTTGCCAAATATAGACAAAATGGAACTCAGAGGATAGATCTGGTAATTATGCATTACCTCAAATTTTAGCAAGAATGTAAAGGTGAAGCTTGAGCAAGCCACAGTGTGACAGCATCTCACTGGATATTACTCAGAGGTAGAATCAGGGTTCCAACTGAAACCTCCTAATTTCCACTCCCATGATTTTGCATAACAATATAGAATTTTCCAAAGGTTGCTATCTAGGACATACCTGGGACTATTTTATCAGTTGTTCCTGGCCTGTTGCATCAGTTATGATTAGGTTGGGTTGGGAAGTGGTCCAAGTCAACAGTAGCTGAAACAAGGAGGACACTCTTCCCTCTCTCCGTGTCCCTGTCACTGAAACCTTCCTATGCATGAGCAGGGCAAGGGTCACAGCTGTATCTGTAACTGCCGAGAGATATTTTGGTAGATTGTTTCCTTTTATTATGGCAGGTTAAATTAAACTATTTGGAATTTAATGGTGTCAATGAGAACTGGATTGGTTGCTTTAACGAAGCACTGAGATTATTCCCTTTACTTCTATCAGCGAAAACAACAGTTTTTTGTTGTTGTTGTTGTTGTTTTGTACTGGGGATCAAACTTGGGACCTTGCACTTGTGAGGCAGGCAGCAGAATCCCTGAGCTAAATCCCCAGCCCTAGGCAACAGGTTTTTAAAAACTGATAATATTCTTATTAACAGGCAGAATAAAAGTATTAATCTTGATTATTAATACTAATAGAGAAATGCAGAGAATATCGTTTATAAAAATAGAAGATGCATTTTTAAAAGTATTAGAATACATTTTATTTTTTTATTAGCACATAAAATGATGAATGTATTGGAATACATTTTACTTTGTTATTACATTAGCACATAAAATGATGAAACCATATGACAAAAATCAGATTCTAGAGAAACTAAAGGTTTTCATTTCTTTCCTGTGCCCAACAGTATACTACCTTTCAAAATACTAAAAAGAGAAAGCTTTCTGCTGAGTCAAACTTTATTTATTGCAAAGACTAGTACTTAAAGGTTCTCTTAAAACTACTTTGGTAAGGGCCAGGGGTTTTGCTCAGTGGTTCCGCCACCTGCCTTGCAAGTGCAAGGGCTCGAGTTCAACCCCAGGTACCAAACCAAACCAAAGCAAACAAACCAAAAAAAAAAAACAAACAAAAATCCCCAAAATGACAACAATAAAAAAACTACTAAGGAGCCGGGCATGGTGGTGCATACCTGTAATCCCAGCACTTGGGAGCCTGAGGCAGGAGGATCCCTGTGAGTTCGAGACCAGCCTGGGCTACATAGTGAGTTCCAGGTCAGTCTCAACTACACAGTGAGACCCTGTCTCAAAAAACCAAAACCAAAAACAAAAAAACCCCAAAAACTACTAAGGTGTTAGTGGGAGTAATTGAAAGCAGAACAAATAAACAAGAGAAAGACCTATTCAGATGGTGTGGCAGCTACCTCTAGGGTTACTTGAAGACTTTCTGGTGAAAGGTAGACGCGTGAACAAAAGGATCAGTGTATTCCAACTTGAGGGTGATTCTTTAGGAAGTATGCTTGAGGATGTACTTGGCAATAAATTTGACAGCCAGCATGGTCTCCTTGCAGGTTGGCTTTATCAGCGATTCAGGAAGGAGGAAGCCAAATTTGCCTCTATCACGGAGCTCAAAGGCAAATGTGTGTTTGAGGCCCAGGTCATAAGCCCAATCTAAAGAAGAACCTGATGTTGGGTCTGCAAAACATAAGCAGTAAATATTTAATTAGAGGTAAATGCTAACATTGTCCTGGAGTTGGAAATCACTGGTGTAAAATTAGCAATAAAAAATAATTATGTGGACAGTTAATTGCAGTAATGAATGAGAGCAGTGGTCTGAATGCTACAGAGTACGTAGTTGAACATAATCACGAATTTCTAATCCACTGTACATTTTAAATACATGCTGCCTTTAAAATTTTCATTTTGGCTGACTTTATTTCCTGGGTACACATTGCTGCAGACAGAACAAGTGCAGGCAGTGGAGGAAACCAGCTGAGGAGTCATCACACCGGTTACTGAAATCCACCATATTGCTAGGGCAAACTTTTATAATTAGAAAGGTTTAAATTAGTGATTTTATTTTATTTATTTATTTATTTATCTTTTTTGGTACTGGGGATTGAACTCGGGTCCTTGCACTTGCAAGGCAGGCCACCGAACCGCTGAGCTAAATCGCCAGCCCTTAAATTAGTGATTTTAAAGGCATATTTAATCCCCTAATCCAAACTTCTTATGGCAATTTTTATGAAATTCCACTAACAATATAATCAGGCATGAAGGTTGAAAATATAAATGCATATCTAGAAGATATGTATATATATCTAACGCATCTAGAAGTTATATTATACATACTATAAGTATGTTTACATATATTTTGCTGTATGTAATAGAAAAGTATTTTTTGTGTAAAATCATTTATGTTCTGGAACAAGTAATGAGCTTAACAGATACCAATTAGTTTAGATGTGAAAAGATAAGAATTCAAAGCTGTGACTAAGAAGGAGGGAAAGGAAGAATATTTTGGTGGGAAGAGATAAGAGTTGGCTTTTAAGTTATTCGACAAATATTTCATTCACTTTACTGGGCCATAGAAGAGCACGAGTTACAAAAGGTGTGCCACAGGGTCTTCAGGAAGTTATAAGTCAGGGGAGAGAAGTCAAAGTGTAAATCTCTGTAGACAACAAGATATGTTACGAACCATCAGAACGTGCGATACTGCATTAAGATTTAAAGAAAGAGAAATTGCATTTGGTTAGAAGGAAGACATTTCATGTCCTCCCTTACCAAACACTACCTTTATCATACAGAAGATATCTGAAAGCCTTGATGAAATGTGAGTATTTTTCTAAGTGGAGATGAAAGTCATTCTGGACAGTGAGCTAGTCGGATGGAAAAGCCTGGGGCATTGGAAGGGGCCTGTGAGAGCCATCTGGGTTGGAGCAAAGGAAGCGATGAAGTTTTGTGGGGAAGTTCAGAAAACCTTGTAAATCATCCATGTTTACATTGTGAGAGACAGTAAGCTACTTCGGTAGTTTTGAAAGTTTGAAATGGGTTGCAAAGACTAGAGAGCAGTTTGGAGGTATTATGAAACGAAATTTTAACCTAAGGTAGAATCAAAGCATGGTGAAGAAAACTGAGGGCCTTATTTAAGAAACATTGATATGAAAGAGTAACCAGAGTTGCTGAAAATGATTGAAATTTCAGTCTGGGTATTTGGGAAAAAACAGCATACTGTTAACAGAAACAGGAACTCAGAGGGTGTTCGGATGAGGAAAAGAAGTTGCAAAGGAACACAAAAGGCTATGTTTAGCATTAATAAGACATTCAGGAAGCAGCTCAGGAAAATGAAGTATGAAATTATTGGCAGAAGCAACCATAAATGAAATTGTGAATAAGTGAACATTTAAGAATATTTTCTTCTTGGTGAATTGGTCCTCTTATTTTTAATACCTCTCTTTGCAACTAGTAACTGTTTTTTTACTGAAATGTGCTTTATCTGATATTTGCCCATTCTTTTGAAAATTTTTAAATTTTCTTTTATGATGCTGGAGATTGAAGTGTGGTTTTCATGCTTGCTAAGGAGGTGCTCTGTTACTCAGCTACTCCCCAGCCCTCTCTGATCTGTAGTCACTAATATAGCTGCTTCTTTCTGGTTTGATAAATGTTCACATATTATGCGAACACATATATGTCCTTTTTATTTCAGTCTATGTTTTTATATTTGAATTTTTTTTTATTTTTAGAGAGAGTCTCACTACATAGTCTAGGCTGGCCTTGAACTCCCTGTGTAGCCCAAGCTGGCCTTGAACTCTCTGTAATCCTTTCTTCCTCAGCCTCTCGACTGTTGGGTTTACAGATGTGTGCCACCACACCCTGCCAGAAATTAGTTTCTTATAGACAATGCATCGTTGAATCAGAATTTTAAAAATACAGTTACCTTGAATATTTCTCTGTATATCAAAGCATCAAATCTGTTATACTTTTTGAATCAGTCATCATGCATAAGAGAGACAGATCATATTATATTACATTATATTTCATATATTTACCCTAAGCACTGCCTTCTTTTCTGAAGTTTGGAGTCTTCTCTGGTATTTCTTTTTTGTTTGGAGGATTTCTCTTAGCCACCGTTTAAGGGCATGTGACAAGTTCTCTTCACTTTTCTTTTTCTGACAATGTCTTTTTCCCCTTCAATTCTGAAGGGTATTATTGTTGGGCCTAGAATTTGGTCTTGATAGGTTTTTTTTCCCTTTTAGCACTTGAAATAATGTCATTTCCTATGACCTCCACTGTTTCAAATGAGAAATTTGCTGTTTGAATTGTTTTCCATTTAGATCATTTTCCTTTTGTTGTTTTCAAAATTTTTACTTGTCTATATTTTTCAGAATTTTACTTTTGAATTTTCCTGATGTGAATTTCTTCGAGCTTTTTCTGTTGGGGTTTTACTAAGTGTTTTGAGTGTGTTGCTTTATGTCTTTGCCAAATTTCTTCAAACAGTTTTTCCAGACTCATTGTCTTTATTCTCCCCTCCTCTGACTTTATGATATATTTTATTAATGTTGTACTCACTGTTATTTTGTTGTCAGTTTTTAAGGGTCATTCATGTTTTCAATGTGGTTTCTGTCTTTAGAGCATGTGAATTCTATTGCTTCATCTTTAAGCTCATGAATTCTTTCCTCTGTTATACTTATTCTGCTATGAGCCCCTCTTCTTCCTTTTCTTCTTTTATTTGTTGGATTGCCATATTTGGGTCATTTTAATATCTTACATTTTTTGGTTAGATTTTTGATTTGGTTCAAAGCTATCTATAATTGCTTGGTAAAGCATTATTTTATGTTGGTGACTTTTAAATTCTTCTCAGATGATTCCAACAATGAAGCTATCTCTGGTTTAGCATGTGTTGATTGTCTTTTTTGTATTCCAGCTGTGATTTTTCTTGTTTTTAGAAGAACAAGTTATTGTTGATTGTACTGTAGACATTTTGGTTATTACACCTACACTATTAACTTATATCTTCTACCTTTGTAGGTAGTTATACCCTGTATCACATTAGTATGCAGGCTGTGGCGTACCCCATGTGTCTTAGAGTTCTGATGACAATAGAGCTTTCAGAACCCATGTTTTTGCTATTTTGGCCTGCTTGGTTTGCCTAGTGCTCCTAGATTCCCACTGAACCCTGCTTGTCCAAAGACGGTTGCTTAGCTGGTTTATCTGGTGCCTCCAGGTGTCCAGTGGGTGGGGTTGGGACTTCAGCCTGTAGAGATGGCCTTTCTTGGTGGGAAAGTCAGAAGGCAGAGGAGGGACTGTACAGCAATCTTTGGGAATAATCTGTATATTGTGCCCCATATCTTAAAACATGTCTGCTTGCACTTACTTATTTACTTATATATATTTTGAGGCAGGGCCTTTCTATGTAGTCTAGGCTGGCCTTGAACTCGCTATGTAGTTCAAGATGGCCTTGCGTTCACTGTCATCCTCCTGCCTCAGCCTCCTGAGAGCTGGGATAACAGGCATGTGTCACGATGTCGAACACATCTGCTTTTAGAGGCATTCACCAGCTATAGAGTTGAAGAGGAGAAAGAGAAGACCTAGGGGAGTTCGAAGTCAGAAAAGCCAAGGAAATGTCAAGAAGATGGATCTTCAGCAGGGTCAAAAGTTGCAGGGAATTTTCTTGCATGGTGCTCATACAGCTGAAGTGGGCTCAGGAAGACAGACATTTTTAGGTGGTTGAGTTTAAGTACATTGGAAAAAAGGCACATAAAGAGCTCAGTAGAAAAGGAGGTAAGTAAGCCGGGCCTGTTGGCACATGCCTGTAATCCTAGCACTCGGGAGGCTGAGGCAGGATGATTGCTGTGAGTTCCATACCAGCCTGGGCTACACAGTGAGTTCCAGGTCAGTTTCAACTACATAGTGAGACCCTATCTCAAAACAAAACAACAACAACAACAGCAACAACAACAAAAACAAAAAAGAAAAGGAGGCAAGTTACATAGATACTGTGTATAATATGATAACATGATAGTTCAGAGTGTGCTGTACATTTACTAAAGTTGGCCGGATTGTAGCTCCACCATGTCCTGCATTTGCAGTTGAGTAAACTGCTATGATTTCAAAGGATTAAAAGATGTGGCTATTCTATTTTGAGAGATTTGCATTATGTGAAATTTCTCATTAGCAGTGGTGATTGAGCATAAACGTAATTTGTGCTTTTTCACAATTAAGTGCTATAGAATGCAGTGCACTTTCTTTTATGATACTACGTCTTGCATCTTCTAGACCTTAAATTTGTAAATAAAAACCGTTTAAGGCCTACAGTAAAGGCAGTACTGAAAACTCATAGGTATACATTATTATGCATCTTAATTTGCTGAACATAACATTTAGCCTTTCATTCAGCTCTATGGGTAATTATTAAGATATAATAATCCTGGGGCTGGGGATTTAGCTCAGTGGGACTGCTGCCTGCCTTGCAAGCACAAGGTCCCAAGTTCAATCCCTGGTACAAAAAAAAAAAATCCCTTGGCTAAATATCAGATACCCTTGTAAGTGGCTTACTAAGTCATTTAATTAATTTCTATTTCAATCTTGCGATGTAAGTACCAATTATCATTTTAAAGAAGAAGAAATTCAGTTACAGGGATGTTAAGCAATTTGTTGAAACACACATAGTAGGTGGTTAAATTAGGATTCAGACTCAGAATATATGTCTTCAGAGCTCATGCTGTTAATCATTTTATGGTATTACTCATGCCAATCTAAAGTTTACCGATACACTTTTTTCTCATTGAATTTATTGGTACATTTTAGGTATACAGTACATACTGATACATTTTTTTTCCTCTTAGTTCTGTGATTTATTTTTTGTTGACAGTATATTTCTAAATATATCAACATTTGGAAAAAATACTTCCTAGTCCTTTTAAGGTACAATATTAGGGGCAAGGAACTTACTATAATGCAACAAAAACAAGTCTAAATGAAACTATAGCAAAGTAGGGGGCTGATATCAGATCAAAACAATCCATATAAAGTAGTTCTGGCCATGCAATGTGTACCATATTTACTGCTTTCTTGATATAGTATTTTTTAGAAAATTATATCACTGTGAAAAGTAATACTGAAATGTATTAAATATAATAACCTGTGCTTATACATCAACATTAAGTGAAAAGCATTCCTATTGCATGGTTCCTATCTATACAAATAACTGTTTTTGCTCACTAGGTACTGTGTTTAGTTATTTCTAATATGGTGGAATTGGATATGCTGTTAATATGCAAATGTAAACATTTTGCAATCTTTGAACATTATTTAAATTTTGTGCCATCTAAATATTGCTGTTTTGGGGCAAAGTATTTGGCATATTGTTTTGACTGTGCTCTAGAATGCTGACTTTTTTCTTGTTCTGCCATAAGGTGATAAAATCGTTCTGCATTTCAATTTCACAGTCTAGGAATAAGGAGTTTAGATCAGTGACTCTCAACAGTAGTTTCATCTGAGAATCACTTCAGGAACTTTACAAAATGCAAATGCCTGGGCTTCACCCCAGACAGAGGAAGTCACAATCTCCGGAAATGGGGCCCGGTCACTCATGTATTTTTAAAACTCAAGTGTGAGGACCATGGATTACATTATCTCCTAGGTTTCCATTGCTGAATCACTAGTGATCCAAAGTTTATCAGATATATTTGCTGATAAGGTTCAAATCGCAAATTTATATATTATCAGATAAAATGATATTATAGGTGGAGATGAGAAACAGGTAGGGGAATACATTAAACTGTAGATTTGAATTGATTTAATAATTTTTGTTAACCCTGTAACCTTATAAAAGTTCATCATAATTTCTTTCTAGAAAAATCTTATCTCCCCAAAGCAGGCACCTTCTATTCCCTAAATTTACATGTAATTCAGAATCTTCTGTGAAAACCGAAGCTCAAATTAGCAATTCTAGATTTCTAATCCAAATTTACAAATTTGTTAGTTCTCTTTAACGTTTATAAAAAATAATTAGGGAAAAGGCCACAGTAAATGGCAAGAGAAACTTACAAATTGTTGATGCTATTGGACCATAAATGTAGTGGGTTTCATACCGAGTTGATATAACATCAGTGCCAATCTTTGCAACTTTGTTCTGGAAAGAAATGAAAGTTATAGTACAATAATAAAATACTTATATGGACTCACCTTACCAGGTACTAAAATCAATCTACAGATCTTACAGATTATATGCCGTTTGAATATAAAAATAATATAGTTAAACGAGAAACTTATTTTCCATAAGCTATGTTAGTGATTGTAAGACTTCTAAATGTGAAGTCAATTGTATCCAGTAACACCAGATTATTCTGTTAAACCGTGCATTCTTTCTTTCGGCACTTTTGTCTGAGATAGGGTTCAGATATTTGCCTCTCCCAAAGTCAAATTTCCAGCTTATCCCAGGTTCCCCATCCATTTATCTATAACAGGTGCCACATTGTTACAGGACTTTCTCTATTCATTTGACCTCAGCATACTCAGGGAAGAAAGAAGTTCTCCTTTCAAGTAGTTCTATTAAATTAGGGTTTGTCTTCCAGAGCGGCATTTTATGATCTTTAATAAACATTAGTGATTTGTATTATGAAAATGGTTGCTGGAATTAGCTTTAATGGAATATAGTCACAACATATTTGCATTTCAAATGAAGATTTTTTTAGCCTATATGTATAGTGCCTCTAAGAAATAGTTTTTTTCCCAAATTAATTTAGCTGTTATGTAAGAACTTCTATTTTAGTTGAAATGGTTATTGTGTACATATGCATTTTTTATCTGTAACACCCTTTTCCTAGGAGTAGATTGATATTGCATTGCTGTATCATTGCAAAAATTAATCAAACTTATAAGTTCAGATTCTCAGCTGGCTTGAATAACAAGTGCAGGCCACATATTGCTTGTATATTTTCTTTTATATACATATGTGTGTATATATATATATATACATATATATACATACATATACATACATATATAGACTGATTTCATGATTTCTTCAAATGTGTGATGTAATTCAAATTAAGTGGTATAAATTGTACTGAATATAATAGATTGAGGTCAAAGTGAAAATTGAGATCTCTTTTTCCCTCAAATTAATTTTATGAGGCAGTACTTGAAACATAGTATGTACTGCATGTTTGTTAACTAGCATGAGATCCATGCTAATCTTTATCTGGTTTATAGCTTTGCTTCTACAGAAATTAAAGATATTTATTCTTGTATTCAACCATTTATCTGGTCAGTTCCTGTGTGTTTTGAGCATCCATTTGTGAATTATTCCTTTTCAAAGCTGATATGACTAAATCAGTCTTTGTAGAAAGAAAAATAATGTTCAATGGATCAAAGTTTTGGGAACATAGCATGTTCTTAGTGATGAAGCTAACAGATTGTGTCATTTCCAGCTTTTTCAGAAGGATAAAAGTACAATGGATCTTTTAAAATATGGTGTCTTAGGATATGAGTAACAACAGGCTTTGCTGTTCAATTAGGCTCTTGTGGTTTGTAGTTTTGTAGTGTGACCCATGGTAAATATTAAATACCTTTCTGAGCTGCATAGTAGTAGAATCCTACTCTGGAGATTTTTTTTTTTTTTGCTTTGTTCTGTTTTGATTTTGGTACTGGATATCGAACTCAGGACCTTGCACTTGTGAGGCAGGTGAGCTGCCACTGAGCTAAATCTCCGAATAGTTTTGATATTTCTTCCTCTGGGTTTTCTATTTAGAGTCACATTAAAAGATTTCCTTATCTATATACTTTTATCAGATGGAAATTAAAGGTCATAATTTGAACTCCAAGTCAACCTTCATTAGTCCTTTGTTTTAGTATTAAAATATGGAATTCCTTCCACATAACACAAATTAACAAAGATTGGACCGTAAAACAATGGTGATGTCAACGTATAAGCCACAGATCTTATTTTTTCTACATACCAGGTCCTCCTGGTTGCATGGCAGTTTTGTTGTATATCCATATGGAAACAGTAGCATCTGGGAGTAGGAATGGAAGGTGATGTAAGCTTTGATGGATTTTAGGTGTCTTCGGATGAAGTCAGTGACAGCCTTTGTCTCTTTCTCTGACTCTGGTGCAGGGCCTCTATAGATGTCACTACATGGATTATTAGAGCTTGGAGAAGCTGTACAAGACATGGGCAGATAAGATCACAATCTGCTCTTCATCAGCGCAGCCCCTACTCCTTCTGGTGTGGATTCCCAAAATGTCTTCAACATTTTGGCCTCTCACATTTATAAAACTGCCTCAATGTCTCTTGTGTCATAAACTAAGGGTACATACGTGTCATATTATAAAATTTAGTTCACTGGGATATTCTTGTCTATTCCCCTCTCCTTTCCTCCTTTCCTGGGAGAAACATATCAAAAGCATCCCAGGGTTTAGAGTCAAACAGATACTCATTTCAGTTCTACTCAAGCTCTGACTTGCTGACGACTAGGGTAAGGACCTTTCCTGAGCCTGAACTTAGTGATATTGACAATCATCATTGCATTCATTATGTCAAAATTAAAAAACTAAAAACTAAGGTGATATTTCTAACCAAATTAAATGGAGAAGTACATGACTTGGGGCAGTGGTAATTTCTCCCCCAAAGTCTATAATGATAAAGTTTTAGTTGTATAGCAATAACAACATCATCTGATAAAGCAGGCCCCTAATTTTGCATCGCTATTAAATAGTTTCACTTTTGGTCCCCCCAAAGATGTTTCTTTTCACTAAGAATCTAAAGAATTACTTATATTTCCATTTTATCCACTGATATTTCTTAACTTTTATCAGAGTAGGAGCAGGAGGGACCTGTGGTCTCTCTTTAGATTAACTGAATTTTTGTATATCTGGATTTTGTCTGTTTTTTAGTGAGCTAGATACGTTCAGTGAGAGATGGTTTGATAAAAGACTTCCTCTGCCCCCTGCCAGTACTCATTGCTCTGTGGTAGTGATGTTTATTTTTCCTTTAGTAGATGATAAAAATTAATGCTCATTCAGAGAATACATGTTTTTACTAAAATAAGTAAAAACATGTATTCCTTTTTATTAATTTTATTTTATTAATTTTTAAAGTTTTAGTGTTGCACACAAGCCTGATTTTTCTTTTATGAGAATCTCCATATATTTTTTATTTCTAAATATCGTCAAGACCAAGTTTCTAAATGTCATCAAGACCAAATCTATGACTCACATTTCCACGAGACATCAAAATTCCTGTTGAGGTCAGTGCCAATACAGCTGGAATTTTTGTTCTTAGAACGATTTTTTCTCCACATTCGGTTCTGCCAGATTGAATCAAGGAAAAGCTTTATATCAGATCAGTTTGTACTTTTCAGTTTGATTATCTCAGATTCTCTTTGCAGGTATCTACAGCTATATTTGAAATCTACCTAGTTAAAATGGGTGGTTTTATTATAAAGAAAATATTACTTTCTTATAATGTGTAATTAGAAACATTGCTAATCTTAGGGCATAATGAAATGATTCAGTTAATTTAAAAAACTGTTGCATAGTTCTCAGTATAGATATTGTGATGTTCTGGAATTATGTATAAATTAAATTATAACTCGATTATATCTTTTATAAAGATAAAATACAGGTGAAATTGTGACCATTAGAGCATAGTTTTCAGAAAAAAACTTGATATTATAGTATTGTCTGAAAATTCAATATTAACCTTTTTAAACAACAGGAGAATAAAACATCCTGGTAGAAATTCTATTCCTGTCTTTATTTATGCCTTGATATTATGACTCTACTTCTATCCTGTCCCCAAATGATGGAATAAAATGACTTTTGCTTTGAAATCAATGTGTTCATAAAAGTCTCAAGTGGCTTTTATTCTTAGCTAAGCCATGCTTTTGCTATTTCATATAATCATGCATTTCCTTTATAATTACTGGTTTATTTTATTTTTCCATCATACTAGCTTCAGCAGCAAAAATTTCATATTATTTAAAGAACTTATGCAACAAGAAATAATAGTTGATAATTTAAAATTGAAATTTTTAAATGTACATTTTTCTGGCTTGGAGTTAAATTATTACCCATATAGTATATTAATATATAACTATAAACATTCATTAAAAATGATAAACAATATTTTATATAAATGCAAAGAAGAAAATACTGAGCAGTACCTGTGTCCAAGACCAAATATATCCATCCACGTTGAAAACAGGAAGAATATAAAAATTCATTCGGTCCAAGAGTTTGGTCATAATTTTGTTTTTTCCATAACTTTTTGTTGCCTGTAAATATAAGTTAAAAAAAATTGAATGTATTGGTGTGAAATGTAGTTGCCATGTGGAAAAGCTGCGGTTCTAATAGTCATAACTACCATTCCTTGAGTCATGCCTGCATTTAAATGATTTTAAAATATTTTTCTTAAATTTCACAAAAATAATGACGCATCAAGATTTTGGAAAAAACTAGTTATTCATGTAAACGACACTAATTGGGATAGATTCTTTAATGGATCAATTAATTATTGAGACATAAGGCATTCAAAATAGAGCATGCAAGAGTTATCTGATGGGAAGTGTAAGGGCCAAGTAGAAAATTAATGATATTACTTGTTTTGTGTGGATATTTTTCTTTCCCCTTACACCCTTTACATAAATACAGATGGCGTTTATAAGCATAGGAATACAGAAATATTGGAAAAGAATCCTAACGTATCTATAAATGGGATTAAAGAAATAATGTTTTTCTCTTTTGGTGCTGGGAATTGAACCCAGAGCCTCATGCATACTCAGCTTGTGCTTTACCACTGACCTATATCCTAAACCAAGAAAAAATTCGATTACGGAAAATCTCAAGAATTTAGAGACTGACCAGTCCAGTAAATGTTTTTCTCATGTCTGACTCAAATTTTTCTAATTATCTGGACTTTCTGTGGCTACTAAAAATCTCTCTTGTCACTCTTAGAAAATTTCTCCAAGGTATTTGTTCATTGGAGCTAGGAAATTCCTTGTAGTGTATTCCTTTATGGACCAAGGGGAACTCTTGGTCCTTAGCTGGAATTAACCTAGCTGCAGAGATGAGTCCGTTCTACTGCTAGATTCTGTCCTAGTGAACACGTTGATGGCTGGACGACCGTTGTCATACATATGTATTACCTACAAAAGCTGGGGAAAAAGAAAGTTAAAAGGTTTTAGGAGTCAGACTATATTAGCAATAGAGTGTGAGGAATAAAACAACATATAAATCGACTCTGCCTTTAAAAAAAATGAGTTATTTCTCACTTGGAAAGGAAATTTAAACATGAAAATTCCAAGTTCATGCATTGCCATTGAAATTTCTGGTCAGCGTTTGGCGCTCACTGGAGAGAAGTCAAATTTGCAAGACTTTTCACACTTCACTCTAGGAAAATCTTCCACATTATAGCGAAAACCATTTCTTTTAGTTTCATAAATTCTCAGCTGGAGTTCAAGAAGTTTGATGGTGTCCATTTTATAAAAACTGCAGTGATGAATAAAATCTGGAGCGTTTATGTCCCTGACAGCACCGAATGAAGGCCCCTCTAGTTAAGTGGACCTGTGCTCATTTGGAAAGGGGTGTCACCTCTCAGTAAAGTGCCGGGGACATGACAGTCAAAGGAGAGTAATGAGTGTTCTGATGCACTTACCTGATAGACAAACCACTGGCAGAATGCAGGGGAGATCCATTCTCGTGCATGAATGCCACAGTCCATAAAAATAGCCTTTCTTCGTCCATCTTTCCCAATCTACTTAAAAATAAACTTGAGATAGTGTTTTGCATGAACTCACACATTGATCTTATGTCATCCCATAGCTCATTCATACTCTCAGAGCAATTCTTCCTCTGTCTATCGTTGAACAGGAGCTGTGTTTGTTCGTGTTGTTCTCGGGGAAGATAAGGCACAGATCCTTCGGTGCCTTTGTATAATTCGCAATCTGATACATTGTATTTTTCAGAAAATTGCCTCGCATCAGAGCTGTCTTTAAGCTTTTTTTTTTCCAAAGTAGAATTTATTGTTTTTCTTACTTGATCGATAATAGCCTATATATTTTGAGACATAAAGTTACTTCCGTTTCCTTTTATTTTTCTGGTGTTGTAGACCAGGGAAGCAGAGTGTTTAGCCTGAAGCAGAAAAGAGTTTGTGTAGGGTTTGGAGTGGGGAGGAGGAACAGCAGCACGCATGTGCCATTCTGTCCTTTTGAAGAGTTTAGAATTATTGTGGAGTGGCTGGAGAGACAATGGCTGGATGGTAAGGGATTGGCTTTCCAGTAGTGAAGGCTTCAGGGTTGCGTCTTTGGGTGGACAAGAACCTAGCAGCAGCTGAAAGGCACTGGTGAGCACTGGGGGAGGGACAAATCTCACCACAGCACAGACCTGAAATGCCTTACGTTCTATTCTGGGGTCCGTTATGTCTGTGACGTTAAATTTTTTTCTTCATGACATTAATTCATTATTTTCATTGAAGTTTAGTGGATAGAAAAGAAGTTTACACATCTGAGGCATCGCAGACTTTTGTTATGAAGCTATGGAGTGAGATATTTGTCTGCGTTTACCCACTGTGCAATCTCTGACCAGTGTTCTCGGGCCCACGGAAAGCCATTTGTTATTTCTATTCATGCGCCGTTCTTCGAAAGATTAGACATTTTGCTATCTCCAACTTGGCTGATAATATTAAAATGAATGCTTTTCAATAACAAAATGAATTATTTTTACCTTGAGAACATAGAGTGGATTATCCTCAACAGTTGACCCAATTTTAATACGAGAGACCATTTCAGGATGCTTATTCACCATTTTTTCAGTCCAAGCTACAATCTTAAGAGCAAAATCAATTTTGAGGAATCAAAATGAAGGAAGACGATAGACAGCAAAGGATGATCTCTTTTAAAGAAGAATTTTATACCATACCTTGTCCCAGTTATTGTATTTTGCGTAACTGTGTCTGCCAGAGATATCGTCAACATCAAACTGTTTCTCAATCTCTTCTTGTAGATCATGTACTAGGATTCTTTTTGACGGGAAAGCGATAAGGTACACATTTCATCACGGGAAAGAAAAACAGTTATCTTTTGGTTGGAAAAAATCTCTCTTCCTTCTCTCTTTTTAACCGAGTTTGTTCTTTTTTCTTTATCATTCTTCTCTAGACATTTCCTTTGGACGTGTGTTGTGTGTGGCTTCAGGCTTCCCCGTTTCTCTAGGGGGTCTGAAATGGTGGCCTCCAGGTACAGTTGACTAAAAAGTACTTAAAATTGGGCCTGTCCAAGAGTAGAGAGTGCTGTACCTTTAAAGGATATTCTAAACTTTGAAATAATACTCTATACGAATAGCATAAAAATTATGAAAAATTCCCATAAGTTTTCTATCTATTATATGTTGAAATAATGATATTTTGAATATATTTGGTGAAATAAAATTTACCTCTGACGTCAATTTTACCTGTTGCTTTTTATTTTTTAATGATTACTAGAATATTTCAAATTTCACACCTGGCTTATGTTACACTGTTATAGTACCCCGGTTCTTCTGTACAGCACACACACACACACACACACACACACACACACACACACTCATACACATACAACACAGCCCAAAATGGATGTTTTTAGGCATCAATTTACAAATCATGTCTTCTTATTTTGTACTTTGAGAGATGGGAGAAACTTGAATAACAATGATGTTAATGATATTAGCAAACAGGTACTCAGCACTATGTGCCAAGCATTGATCTAACCTCTTTATGTATATTAACTCATTTCATCCCCACATGACGTTATGATCTTCATTTCACTGATGGTGAAACATAGGCACAGGTATTTAAATGACTTGTCTATACTTAATAAAGCTAGAAAATGGCTGAGGAATGTGGATTGGAATGCCTGAAAAAAGAGGCAAGAAAAATCATTAGGAAGCTAATACTGGATGTCATTGTAATGCTGAGTAAACTAACTCAGACACACACATATCTCATGGTTTCTCTTATATGAAAAATCAATATATCTAAATTATGAAACAAAAGATAAATAATAGAAACAAATATAGAGAAAAAAAGAGATAGTAATCCAATGCAGACAATATATCTAAAAGTATATCTTGGGCTGGGGATTTAGCTCAGTGGTTCCATCACCTGCCTTGCAAGCACAAGGACCCTAATTTGATCCCTGGCACAAAAAAAAAAAAAAAAAAAAAAAAAAAAAAA